CCACGAGAAGTTCTAAGAGAGACACGGAAGGTGGCAAGAAAGAAACATCACAACCAGTTAAGACTTTAAGTGGTTGATGACGTTCTTCCAATTATTGCCGAGTTTGTACCCATTCTCTCGGTTGAAACTGTGTCTGTGTCTGTATATATGGATGGCTTCATGAACGAATCTCTGGTGATATAGCCGGTGGGCTTGCTTTCCTCCTGATGACGATCGCTGGTATTGTGATCGAAACGTAGTAGTTTAAAATGTTTAGTTACATTGATTTTTTTCTATCGACGTGACTTTACCGAAATATCCAAAGAACACGGTGTAAAGGTTTGCACGCCACGCTTGTGATTTGGAGGTCGCCGGTTCGATTTCGATCTCCTGGCGTGCCACCTCCGATTGCCACGGTTGGCTACGTAATAATGTATGTATGTATATGTTGAACTTGTTTCGCACCTACGTAGCCAACCACGCTTATCGGAGGTGCGGGAGAAGGACGGCAAAACTAAATACACAAAAGCAGTTAGAAAGAAATGGGTTTTCAATCTAGATTTCAAAGTGCGTAGAAGTTCAACAGACGTACAAACAAACAGCGGGACAGGTTTCTAAAGCTCCCCAAGCACCCCACCTCTGTCCACCGAGCAGCGTAACTGGGAGCACCACAGTTAGTTGATCGGCAGGTCGCACATGATGGGTAAAGTGTGGGTTCAGCATTGAAGGGCTAGGCCAATAGAGCACTAGGAGGGAGCCGTCCAGAGCTCCCTCTAATGGAGACCCTGCCGCTAACAGAGCCGTTCAAAGTCAGCTACGGCGAGTTGGGAAGAACCCGTGGCATCTAAGTGGATAGAGTGTGGGAACAAGCAAGTGTGAAAGAAAACAAACAAACAAACAGCTATTTGGCTTTAAAATATCTAGCCACGTCATAACTTCCGGGTACATGCAATGTTAAAGCCGCAATTAAAAAAAAAATTCTATATAAGAGGTTGACATTTGAGTGTGCATTGCTTTCTTGTTAGGTGGTTGGGATTTAATATTTTTACAGGAAAATCAGGACAAATGTCACTTGGACCCTTGACGTCACTTACTGTGATTGTCGAGAGGATCCCACCATCTCCCGAATTGTAGATGTTGGGGCGCTCCCAAGGTGATTCAAACCAATCAAAGTTTGATTTGAGGTACGTAATGTGCGCGAGCTAACTTTCGCAAGAACAACCTTTAAAGTTGCCGCCTTCAAGGGAACACATCGATTTGATTTTAAGTGATTTGGGCATTCTTACATCACGTGATTTTTTTTTTTTAACACAAGACCCCGAGGCCAAACACACCAAGCAGATTGCAACGAAACGGCGCTCGTTAAAGTTGCAGCAGACACCGTGAGGGAAAAAAAGTATTTGATCCCCTGCTGATTTTGTACGTTTGCCCACTGACAAAGAAATGAGCAGTCTATAATTTTAATGGTAGGTTTATTTGAACAGTGAGAGACAGAATAACAACAACAAAATCCAGAAAAACGCATGTCAAAAATGTTCTAAATTGATTGGCATTTTAATGAGGGAAATAAGTATTTGACCCCCTCTCAATCAGAAAGATTTCTGGCTCCCAGGTGTCTTTTAAACAGGTAACGAGCTGAGATTAGGAGCACACTCTTAAAGGGAGTGCTCATAATCTCAGCTTGTTACCTGTATAAAAGACACCTGTCCACAGAAGCAATCAATCAATCAGATTCCGAACTCTCCACCATGGCCAAGACCAAAGAGCTCTCCAAGGATGTCAGGGACAAGATTGTAGACCTACACAAGGCTGGAATGAGCTACAAGACCATTGCCAAGCAGCTTGGTGAGAAGGTGACAACAGTTGGTGCGATTATGCGCAAATGGAAGAAACACAAAAGAACTGTCAATCTCCCTCGGCCTGGGGCTCCATACAAGATCTCACCTCGTGGAGTTGCAATGATCATGAGAACGGTGAGGAATCAGACGAAAACTACACGGGAGGATCTTGTCAATGATCTCAAGGCAGCTGGGACCATAGTCACCAAGAAAACAATTGGTAACACTACGCCGTGAAGGACTGAAATCCTGCAACGCCCGCAAGGTCCCCCTGCTCAAGAAAGCACATATACATGCCCGTCTGAAGTTTCCCAATGAACATCTGAATGATTCAGAGGACAACTGGGTGAAAGTGTTGTAGTCAGATGAGACCAAAATGGAGCTCTTTTGCATCAACTCAACTCGCCGTGTTCGGAGGAGGAGGAATGCTGCCTATGACCCCAAGAACACCATCCCCACCGTCAAACATGGGCATTGAAAATGGGTCGTGGATGGGTATTCCAGCATGACAATGACCCAAAACACACGGCCAAGGCAACAAAGGAGTGGCTCAAAAAGAAGCACATTAAGGTTCTGGAGTGGCCTAGCCAGTCTCCAGACCTTAATCCCATAGAAAATCTGTGGAGGGAGCTGAAGGTTCGAGTTGCCATACGTCAGCCTTGAAACCTTAATGACTTGGAGAAGATCTGCAAAGAGGAGTGGGACAAAATCCCTTCTGAGATGTGTGCAAACCTGGTGGCCAACTACAAGAAACGTCTGACCTCTGTGATTGCCACCAAGGGTTTTGCCACCAAGTACTAAGTCATGTTTTGCAGAGGGGTCAAATACTTATTTCCCTCATTAAAATGCCAATCAATTTATAACATTTTTGACATGCGTTTTTCTGGATTTTTTGTTGTTATTCTGTCTCTCACTGTTCAAATAAATCTACCATTAAAATTATATACTGATAATTTCTTTGTCAGTGGGCAAACGTATAAAATCAGCAGGGGATCAAATATTTTTTTCCCTCACTGTATGTGCCAACACGTGTCTTGAATTCATGAAGGTAAATTTATAAGAACTTGGGAAAGGAGGCAATGGCATGGAATTTGAAAGTCGAGCAGTGCGAGTGAAGAATCGGAAAGAGAAGAGTGGGTGAGTAACTGTGAATGGGTGGATGAGTGAGTGGGTGACTGAAGTGGGTGAATGTGTAGGTGAGTCAGTGAGTAGCTGGGTGAGCGAGTGAGTGAGTGGGTCAGTGAGGTGAGTGAATGGGTGAGTGGGTATGTGAGTGGCTGGATGAATGAGTGAGTGGGTGGACGGCTGAGTTAGAGTAGGTGCGTGATTGGGTGGGTGAGTGAGCAGGTGGGTGGGTGAGTGAGTGAGTGCGTGGGTGAGTGAGTGCGTGGGTGAGTGAATGAATGGGTGAGTGAGCGAGTGGGTGGGTGGGTTAGTGAGTGGGTGAGTGAGTGAGCTATTGGGTGAGGGAGTGGGTGGGTCAGTGAGTAGGTGGGTGGATGAGTGAGTGACTGGTTGGGTGAACGGCTGAGTGAGAGTAGGTGCATGATTGGGTGGGTGAGTAAGCAGGTGGGTGTGTGGATGAGTGAGTGGGTGCGTGGGCGAGTGACTGAGTGGGTGAATGAGTGGGCGAGTTGTGACCTGCAGTTTCGTGGTGGTGGTGGTTGAACACAGTGTGGATAAGACGACACAGTCAGTCTGATTGACTGCGTTCTCAACATGGGCCGAGGAATCAATGAGTGAAGTTGACGGAAATAAAAACCACTGTAGCGAGGGACGAGCAACGAGAAGGCGACTGACCACTGGTGAACGAATGACGGGAGTGCATTCTGGATGGCCGAATCTGAACAAGCAATGAACCGTGGGGGTTTTCCGCGACATCATTCTGACGATTCTGGGAGAATATTCTGATTTCAGATCGCTCAAAATGAAGATTGCTTCAAGGCTATTCAAGTGCACTTTGCTCAAGCAAAGTCTGCCATTATGCCTTCTCATTGCGACAATGTATGCAACGCATAACGCACATTGTGCCATAACCTTGCTCGCCAGGTAAAGGGCAGTACGGCAAGTAGGCTAATCTCCATCTGGATTAGGTGTTGCCTCCTTGCCCAATAACACTCATCGTTGATTGGCTGAATACATTTTTTTTAAATAACCGCAGGACTCGATTGAAAAATGGTCCTTGGACTCAGCATGGCTTTCCTGGATAAAATAGTAATGATCATAATATTATTATGATTATTATATTGCCGGATAAATGATTGCACCTACGATTAGCATGGTTGGCTACGTACAGTATGAAATAAGTTCAACAAATTTATGTAACATTAGCCCTGGCCACTTCTTTATGACCCTTGGGCTACACCCATTTCAAACCTTTTAAAACAGTCTGCCTCAGCAGCAGACCATGCTTTCCCACCTGATGACAGACGCTTGTGTGTTGCGCCCGAAGCTTCGTGATTTATTATATTTTATACCTAAGTTACTTTACCAAAATTACTTCAACTTACGCAATTTTGAGGACTGGGTGTTGAACTCAGTATAAAGAAGTCTGAAGCCCGCACCGGTGAACATCTTTACCCGTCATAGCTCTATCGATACATCGGGCCGCGTGAAAACAAGTTTGTAAAGTGCGTGGCATTTCTGGCCGAGTGGCAAGACTGTTAAAGATAACAACGTTTGGCATTAAAATTTAACTTAAGCCACGTGACCTATCTCAGGCTTCACGTTATGTGCTGTGGTGGCGAGATGTTAACTCCCTTGCCTGGTATGCAGGAGGTTATGGATTCGATCCCGGACCCTGACGCCTGTATATCTGGAGTTTGCACGTCTTTGTCTCTCCTTGGTGGTGACGTGGATTTTTATCCGGGTCGATACTGTTTTTTTTTCCCTTCCACGTTGAGAATCAACCCGCGTGTTCGAGTATTTGGCTGCTGCGATAAATTTCCAAAGCGATGATAAGCCACTTCCTTGAGCTATCATGAAAAAAAAATTGCCACCGTAGCTCATTGGTGCCTTACTTGGTAAACTGCAAAACAAAAAAATGGTTCGTAGTTTAGTTTTAGATGCAGCGACGATGAGAACAAACTCGCGCGTGCAGCCGCTGGGTGGTTCATTTCATCGCGAGACCGTGACAGATGACAACGTGGCCCAGGGGTAGGAGGGGGTGGGGTTGCCTCTCACCCGTCTCGCGCGACGAGTGGATGAACGCTTCGACGCCGCTCTCGCCGTAGTTGCCCTCGGAGGCGAGCGTCGACACGTAGTTCCAGCCCAGCGCCTTCACCACGTCCACCATGGTCTGCGCTTGGTAGGAGTCGGGCGGCACGACGCGCGAGAAGTAGTCGTAGCGGTTGTTGTCGCTCAGCTCGGGTGCCGTCGACGCGTAGCTGATCTGCGGGATCTGCGCGCGGCGCGGGTGGGCAGAGGGCGGCGGGCGTTTGTGAAGAACGAGCTTCTTAGCTCATCGGATTTTAATGTTCTCCACGATAATTTGGGACGGTCGGCTACGTGCGGCGTGGAAGACGTTCAACGTGCATACACAAAATACAGATTTTGATTTTGTTCAGTGGTCAAGGTCACACAGCGGGCAGGGCAAGCTGCTGTGGTGCACTTTATATTTCGGCTCGATTGGGGCGATTGTAGATTATGGAACTCAGCTTGGGATCACACACAGCAGCAACAGAAGTCATCGCCCACCCCGCCTTCCCTCCTACTGGCAGACCCATGCCCGTTTTCTGATGCCCGCTTTCTGGCTGGTCGCCATGTTGCCTTGTGCTGTGCAAGGGGTGGCTGGCGCTAGGGGCTGCCCTTTAAAATGTTTGAGGTGACATGTAAAGTGCTCTGAGATGTCCCGGTTTATTGGGTGCTATCTCAAAAACAATTAATTATTATAACTATTACACGTGTTTACCCAGGAAAGCATCACGGCCATAGGCATGTGGAATTGTATTCACTGGCCACTAACAGAACTGCTCAACGACTATTTTTGTTTGCATAATTTCTGCTGAAAGAAAAATCACACAATTTATTAGCGCACAGAAGTAATTATTATAGCTAACAGTTAGAGGTTGGTTTAAGGAACATTCATTTATTTGAGTGGCTTCACTGTAATGGGGTCTGTTTTACTACGAATATGGGGCTGAAATTCATTGATAGGAATGCACTGTAAGATTATTTTCAGCCAAATCTCTGCCGTGGTTTCTACCGTATGATTTAATTGGACCTTGAAAAATGTAACGTGCAAACAAAGTTTTAATTATTTCCCCAAAAATGATCTTAGGCTCCTCTGTTTTTCAAATATAGTTTTTTCTTTCTCCCCCCCCCCATACCCCCTGCTTACGGGTTGCAATTAGCGAAATAAAATATTTTTAAAAGGCTGCAGCAAATTGATTATCTGTCTGCAAGCTCGTTCGCAAGAAATTTAAAATATTAGACATTGATATGCAACTCATTATTTTCACACGAGTCACCCCCTCCAGGGTCAATTCTCAATCGGGTATTGTGCGCCACGATGCCCTGGCCACCTCCGGATTCACCACACGCCGCCACCACCACCACCACCATTGGAACATTCGAGAAACGAATTCCTCCCGGCGATCGAAAGCGGTCTATGCTTGGCTGAACATTTCCGTGGGCCCGGCACAAATTCTCCTATGCAGGGCGATAACCCTTCCAATTAGAAATACGCGAGGTTATGATCCGCGGGGGTTATGATACTTTGGGAATCCGCCTGCCCTTTCGTATTGATAAATGTATGTAAATAGCGGGGATCGCAGTTCATTCGTAATTGGATACAATCACCACGGTTTACAACTGCCCTGGTTTTTCCCAGGATGTCCTTTTCCTCGAGGCAACTCTCCTGGGATCCTGGGAAATCTTTAATACATTACAGTTCCAATGTGTCAGTTGCATAACGATGCTTCGCTCCCGGACAATGTGCTCTTACGTAGCTCTCCCCTCTTGCAGTATTGTGATATATTAACTCTTCTTATTTCCACATTATCTCGGGAGGTGGTGACGCTACCGATCACGTGGTTTCATATGGGAACATTAATATGATTCTGATCTGGATCAGTTAATTTCAATCCTGATGGATTGAGATTGGATTTGAATTAAAATGATTCACGGTCCTGTGTCAACCCACTGGCTGGGCGACTGCCTCCCTATGCAGCGTAGGTCACGGCGGTTGTACGTTTGACCATACTTCACCACGCTGGTCAAGTTCACGTCGATATAGGAGGCACCCGCAGCCATTTCAGATGACACTCGACTCTCCCCCTGTTAGCTAGGGCCGACAATTAAGCTGGGTGTGCCGGATTCGTAACGCAGAAACGCGAACCACCTGAGTCACGTCGCGTGGCTTTTAATAATAAATAACGTTAAATTAAAACCAATTAGCTGGGACCCGTTTCACTAATCGGGAGATCAGAACCCGCCGTGACAGAACGCGTCTCGGCTAGAGGGCCTATGGCGAGGGATAATAGCGGAGTGGCAGCCAAGGGGACGGAATGCGTCCTGCAGCACGTCCAGCGAGAGAGATGTAGCGATGGAATCCGTTCGCTTGCCAGCGCTGGGTGGATCGGTCAAATGGCAGGATCACGAGATGTGGCGGCTTGGGGGTGGCCTTCATTCAGCAGTGGATTGTCTATGGCTGATGATGATGCCGACAGATTCGTGTACCAATCTCTGTTTGGTGCTCCTGAGCCAGTTATATTCAGGGCGGCCCAAAAGTCGGGGCACAAAAGGCTTCTCATATTTATTTTAAGAAATCACATTGGGTTATTTCATTCTTTTTTAACACATGTTCAAACTGGCATCCATTAACATGAATGCATGCATGAATTATCTTTTGAAAATAATTTCGGAATTTTTTAAGTGGCTCTTCATATAACTTGTCGAGTTGTTACACAGGGATTGAGCAGTGAGGGCTTGTTTAACGTGGCGTCGATTGGCGTCCATCTGGTCATAATTACAGATGCACAAATGCTCCTCAGAAGAACACTTTTGAAATAAAGAGTTGCCGTTCCACAACCCTCTGGTGTCCCTTGGTGGTGGAGTCACTCGATCCTCAAGAGGAGTGCAGAACACAACGCATGTTGTACACTCATCGCCTCTGAACTCGTCTATTGTTGTTGTTGTCTTTGTTAACCGGCCTGTTCCCTCGTTACGGTCACGGGAGGATAGGGATAGGGCGAGCCGGTTACATACAAATCATACATTGGGGGCAGTCCATAAATGACGTTACGCGATTTTGGACGATTTTTTACCCCCACCCCCCCCCCCCCCCAATTCGTCGCACGGTGTCACAAAAAGTCAGACCCCCCCTAAAATATGACGTCACAAAGCTCTGCCCCCCCAATTTTTTTTATATAATATTGACATTGTAGTGCGTAATTTAATCTGGCGCTGCACTCTGATGTTGTAGGAGAAAACATTTATTAAAAAGTATTTTTAATTAAGCAGAACGTGTTGTCTATATTTATTTAAAGTTGCGCATTTTGATGTGACGTCACATTTCTCAAACCCCCCTCCCCATCGTCAAACATCGTCACAAATGTCTGACCCCCCCCCCCCCCAGGTGCGTGACGTCATTTATGGACGGCCCTTAAGACAACGTGTATCTAATTGTATTTCGTTGTCTCAATTAATTCAGCGTCCTTGATCGAGTTGTGTAAACGGTGGTTTTGGGGTAACCCCACGGGAAGAATAAAAGTAGGTAATAATTATGATAATAGATGCAATATTAAGTAAAAGAATAAACAATACAAAAGTTTTAATGCCAGTGTTTAAATAAATGAAATAGCTCTATTGCAGCCTCACTTTTGGGCCACCCTCAATTGGGGGAACCAGTCCAAAAACTCTTGACCTTCCATACAAAGTGGTACTTATTTTATCAAGCATGAGGCTGGTAATGCGCTGCGTTGACCTCTGATTGTTAAGTCGAGCACCCTCCCACAGCAAAAAAAAACAGTAACAATCGAACTGGCGTAAACAGACGGAACAAAGCTTGGCTTACAATGTGAGCTGATCAACACCAGATCATGTTCCGATTGCCAAATCAGATATAAAAAAAAAAACAGATTGTGAAAACAAAGCACAGTCGTGTAGAGTTTTAAATTGGCTGCAGAAGTCACTGACTCTGTCCTTGATTAGACTTACAGTATCTGTGACCGTTGCATAGGGCACGACGATTGAGAATAGCTGCCAAGAGTCGCCGATCCGTTAGCGATACAATCCTCCACAACTGTCGTTGAGCAACACCACCGGTGGGCAAAACCAGTGGGTGCAAAGGTCAGCGCACAGCACCAAACCAACGCGCGCGAATTCCGGTCATCATCGCAGCAGCGGCAGCTTTTGGCTCAACCATTGAACAAAAACACCCTGGTCACGGTATCGCGCGGGGCTTTGAGATGCGCTTCTGCGGCCGTCTGGAAAGCACTTCCTTCCGACATTAGGAAGCCAATTGGAGCGGTGTACTTTTAAATCGAGATTCACAATCATTTATCTTTGAATAACTCCTTTTTTGTGTTTAGTTTGTTGTCCTTCGCCACGCGCCTTAGGTAGGCTACGTACGATGCGAAAATAAATTCAACATGCATACGGCGACCTGAGTTCGATTCTCGCCCACGGCTGACATCGTTGGGGAATTATACGTGACATTTGGTAACACCCCGTCTCACCTTTCACTAACCCGCAACTGACGTGGATGGTGAAGTATGGTCAAACAACCGCCGTGATCATCGCGGGATGTGGGGAGGCTGTTCTCCAACAGTGGATGGACAATGGGATGTAGATCGGAACGTATAAAATTGACGTTGACACGGGGACACAATTCAACTTGGCGCAATGGTTAGCATACTGCGATTCAATCTCTAGGTCAACAATTAGATTCAATCTCCCGGCACGGAAGTTGAAACAATGGATCCAGTTTCTTAAATACCCACCCCCCACCCTGACCCATCACGACCGCTTCTGTCCACCGACCATTCTAAACGGGCGCGCTGCGATTAGTCGATAGGCAGGTCACATGCGGCGGGGTGAAGTGTGGGTGCTCCCCACCGCTTCCAAGGTATCTTGGCCAGGGTTGGAAGAGAAGGCCAAAGAAAAAAAAACACGTGGTGAGAGGTTCCCTAAGAGCACCCTCGAGTGTGGAGGCTCTTCCAGCCAGCGGTGTTCGTGAGCAAGAAATTGCAGGGCTGCACTTTAACAATTACTTGATTTTAACCTTCTGCACATGACCATCGTCGTCGCTGGTCATTTCTCCGATGGGTGTCCATGAGCAACCGGTCGAAGAGTGAATTGAAAACAAAATCCCTGCACCCGCTAGAATTTGGAAGGCACTTCAAAAAAATCAACTCTGCCCTGCACGTTGCTGGCCCGATACTTGGAACGCTGTTGCAA